GGGTTTATCCAAATCCATCTATACATATGCATACAAACCATAAATGCATGTACATATAAACATGCCTAGGTAAGTAGGCATAGGTGCACACACGTAAAACACAGGTTCATTCAACTTTCTACTTCACATCTCTCCCAGATATTTACATATACCCACAAAATTCTTGAGAAAAAATATCTTGTATCAATATTGGTTATAGTGTCTTTATGTATGCTAGACCAAAATATGAGACAATAAGCATTATTCTTTACACATCATTCTTTTTTAGGCTATGCTGTTTAAATATGTATCCATTTAATTTTTAATGTGAATGCTATCTGCAAGCATTGGTGAAATTTTTAACAGTGGCAGTCTCTCTTTAGAATTAATGGGAAAAAAATCCTAAGAAAAGAAAAAAGGAATTGTCATATAAAGAGAGAACCATCCTACATTTTCTGTGAATTATGTCACCATAACTCCTGGGCTCTCAGAAGAATGAGAATATTAAAATCTTTGCTGCATGTGCACTTTTTGCATCCCAGTGAGGCCTCTCCCTCTCTAAATCACCTACATAATACTCAGAATCTGTACAAAATGTCAATTATGCCAACCATGCTTATTTTATAAAGGCAATTTAGACTATCTCTGTCATTTGTGTGAGCCAAGAAAACCATCAACATGTGAAGAATCCCAAATCATTCTTAGTTACTTATATAGATAAATATAGTTTATAGATAAATAGATATATAGTAGTTACTGTACTGATAATTTTTTTTTTTTTGAGTTGGAGTCTCACTCTGTCGCCCAGAGTACAGTGGCCACTCTCGGCTACCGCAGCCTCCAACTGCTGGGCTCCGGTGATCCTTCCGCTCAGCCTTCTATAGAGAAAACCGATCTACATAGAGGTCAATTAATCTGTATAATTTTGATGAATCGATAAATAGATGATAAATGATAGATAGAATTAAATAGAACTAGTAGATATGCTATATGATTTTTTTCATCTGGAAGTAGATCATTTTACAAAGCTCTCCAACCCTCCAATTCCTCCTTCAATTTTTTCATCAAAGCTACATACTAGGTGGGAAACAACCTTTCAAAAGCCAGAGTAGATCTCCGTTGTCCAGACTTGCTTTCTCTGACACAACCCACTCCCACAGACTGGTCGAAGGTGGCCTCCTAGCTCCTGAAGGTAGAACTCATAGCCCTGGGAGTCAGTTAAGAAACCCTTAACTGTAGCTGAATGCTTTTCTTTCTTTCCTAATTTCCCAGCTAACCAGATTAAATGTTCCTTTGTTTATTAGGCTTATTACAATATGAACGATATTAACTATTTCCCCACTCTTCTTGTCTTTTAACATGTCTAAGGTATTGTTGTCCTAAGTTCTTGTTAGAATTTCTTCACCTACATTTGATCATCACTGAGGAAATGTCTTCATAGATTTATCTCCTTCAGACAGTCAATACAAATTTAGTTTTCTATTTCATTTTCTTCTTATGAGCCTCCATTCCTGGTAGAGTTCCACAAAACTTAACTCTGGATTTGACTTTGCTCATTTTTTTTTCATGTAACCTCAGCTCTATTGCTACCCACCTATAGACTTATATCCAGCTCATTTTACTAGTATCTCATATTTCCCCAACACTTCTGACATTCTAAGTCTCTTTGTAAGTTCAATGTGGTTACTTCCATGAAAATATACCTCAATTTATGTGTCGAACTGAATAAACCATCATCAATTGAATGAAACAGTTCAAGTGGCATCTGGGGAAATGCACTATAATAAATTGCTGTCTTTTAAGGGAAATTGATTTTTTAAAATTTGCTTATCTTACGTATATTGATTTATACTATTCAACTATCTTTCTATCCAAACTTGTAATTATAATACACATATACACTCACATACATACGCACATAATCACACACATCTGTATATTTTGATAATAGATAAATGGATAATTACCAAATATTGATCCCTTCTCTACCATATTCCTTATAATTCCATTTAGTCTTAAATTTAATAAATATATTTTATAGCTCAGTAATAAAAATGACTGAATGAACACTAAGAGCACACCTGATGGTGTTTTTTGTTTGTTTGTGTTTTGGTTTTCTTAGAAATTCCTACCATCACCCCCAGAATGGAAGAATGGACACCATCATGAAGCTGTCCTGTGTAGTTTTTTCCAGCCATTTTCAATGCAAGTGCTGTTTATCACCTGAATGAAGAAAATCAATTGGACCAATACAATATGGAGAGATCATAGCTTCTACCAAAGTTCAAGGGCAAGTCTTGTTGTCCTCTTTTTCACTCTTTCTAAAGGAGTCACTGAAAAGGTATCTTATTTGTTAAATTTTGAAAATGAATGAAGCAAAATCAACATTGTTAGAAAATATTTTAACACTGTTTGAAGGCTTCTGAAGATTCATCAATATACCCAATGGAGGAATAAACATAGCATAGACATTTGGCAATGCAATATCCCAAATCAGATATTAGCCAGTTATAACAATATGCTCTATATCCTGGCTATTTTAAAGTATATTTTACTCATCTACACAGTAAATACAACTCACCTTCATTCCTTCCAAAGACTGCTGGCCAGTTGATCGAGAAATGTGCTTGGAATTCATGTAATTGAGGCATTACAAACTGTAAAATACTTCTAAAGTGTAGATCGGTGTAAAAGTGTCACACACATTAGTGATTCAGCCAATTGTCATATGATAAATATATGGTAGCCGCAGAAGAGCATTAGAAAGTGAGGGTAACCATCTGAAATTTATAAATATTCAAGCCTTTACTGAAAGCAGCTTGTATGTGAAATTTAAATGGCAGACAGCACACCAGAAAAAGGCGCCATTCCAAAGTTCTACAAAAAAGAATTGTATTTACAGATGACATGAACTAATCAGATACATCCAACATCATCTAGAAAACTTAAGGGCATGCCGTAACTTCATATCACAGTCAATATGCATAACAGAACCCGTAGTTATTTTTCTAATAATCAAGCCAAAAGCAAAGAAGTAAACGAAGCAATATAAAGATGAAACACAGAAAGAAAGTACCGCAAAAACGTTTATGATATTGCTGAAATGACTTAAGAAACCACATGAACCCCTGGAACTTTATTATTAGTATGACTATGACTATCATATCATTATGATGATTATAATTATTACAGGCAGGTCCCAACTCTCCCTAGAGTGCCCTCATGGTTATGTAGCTACCTCAGACCTTTGCTTTTCCTCCAAAACTCCCTCCCTTTGAAACAAGGCTTGATGGAAAGGTACAAGATGTGCAGAGAAGACTAACCATCACCACAGAAATATCTGGATGGGAAGCAGCAGCTCCTCTCTCCTGGAGCATCTTCTAGGTGGTGAGCCCCTTGCCTGTGAGTCAGCCTCAGAGTGAAACACTGTGCCTCCAACAAAGCTCGCCTGCTGTGCTTTTTCTCTGCTCCCTCACGAGCTAACACCAAAACCCCTCCACGATGGAGGCTTCCAGAATGCACATACAAGCTAGGCATCTCAGATGGATTTGATTTCAATCAACATTCATGCCAAAGGAACATCTTTGATATGCAAAATATCTATGCCCGGGAATAGTAAAGAACTATTTCTTCCCACAAAAACTTTTCTTCTAGGAGGTGAAAGGAAATAGTGGATCCGTAAATGTTAATATACCTATGGAAAAGCTGAAGAAATCGAGGGACAATAATTAAGGGAATCACATGATCAGAAGAACTGGACCCCATAAAGTCTTGGGGAAAGTTAATACTTCAGGGTCTTTCATAAAGTAAGGTTATTATAATCCTCATATGGAAGTATTTTGAAAGTTTATAGCTAAGGAATATTAAAAGCACGTTTCATCAATAAATTTTCACATGCTGAGCACGTGAGCAATATCATTTTTAAACGGGAATTTTAAAATATCAAATAGAATTATGTACTAAGCCGAGGTGCTTGGTTTTTACATACTTTAAACCATATTACATTACACAATTAACCCACTTTAAGTTCACAAAAATTCAGTCTGCATTATCCATACAGATTTTCTACTTTTAGATATAGTTTGAGGTTTGTGTGAGCGGCACAATCAAGTGAATAAAATTAGGTAACCAAACTACTGTTGGTAAGAAAGCAGAATTAGTTATGCTCTCAGTTTTGTTTGTTGTGGTTCATTTTATGATGAGGGCATCACTCCCACTAACAAGAACAACTGGTATCTATTTTTAAATGGATTTGCTCACAGGAGCCGGTGAATGTGTATGTGGATACGTGTGTGGAGAAGATTGAAAAACATTATTTGACAGCATTTGTTCCCCATTCTTAATTATTCTCCGAATATACAAGAGGGGACCCCTAAAATTATTTTTTGGAGGACGAACCCTTGGTAGTACAGGCTTTCCCTGCTAGGTAAGTGTTCTAGGAACAGTCATCAGCACAGTGTACCGGGTAGTATTGTTGTGAGAGGCTGTGTTCACGTCAGTGAATTATTTTTGGAGATTCTTTCAGTGTGTTTGCCCACTTCACGATGGGTGAATTATGAGTGCACCTGCCCACATACACTGTTGCGTGTACACAGCAGTTTTTGCCTCAAAATGGCATTCCTCCCACGCCCCACTCCCCCTATTCACCCAGTCTCGCCCTGAGCCACTTCTTTTGTCTCCCCAGATGAAAAAAGTCCTCAAAGGGAAATAAATGTTTTGCCGATGTGGAAGAGGTGAAACAAAAAAATGCCAGGCATCAAAATCGACCAGTTCAAAAGCTGTTTAGAGCAGTTGAAAAAAGCATGGGTGTATTGCAGTCACTTTGAAGGTGGCTGAAGTTTAAACATGTAAGAATAAAATATGCATTTTTTTACAAATAAATTCTGAGATAAATGAATTCCAGGATAAATAAATTTTGGGGGGGTCTCCCCTCATATATATTTTTTTTTTAATTAGCAGAAGTTAACACCAAGAAGGAGTCTTTATGTCAAACACATTGATGGTATTATGATATTATCAGGCCTTTGCAGCCTTCAGAAACTCTCACATGTTCAGTGAAAGGAAGACATCCTGAATCCTAAAGAACTGGGAGGTTAGTAGCACTTAGACAAGATGAAGACATATTGGTGTCTGGAGAAATTCTAGGACCTTCTTATCAGAAGAAGCTACTAGTAAAAATGGTTAATTGGAATAATAATTAAAAAACTATATGGGCTAATTCTATCCTGGGATCACTAAAACAAAATGGAAAAAAAAGAGGATTCTTTGTTTTAAAATCTCTCAAAAAATACTTTTGGCAACAGCCGAGTTAGTGATGTATCTGAATATGGCGTCCAACAACTAGAAACAGTAATCCAGCCAGCAGAGAGAAAAATATCCCAGCTGGGGCCAGAAAAAATGACCAGCCATACAGAACAGAAGAGGTGAAATCCAAGCAGTCTTTCATCTTCATGTTTCGATAGTTTTCCATGTCTGCCACTGCCTGGACCCAGATGACATACAGTATCACCACCAGGGAAAACAGGATGCCTGGAAGGACAAAACAAAAGACCTTTAGCCTTTCTGAAGATGTTTTCTTAAGAATACTATACCAAACAGGCCATGTCCTTAATGATAAGCCTCTACAAATATGTTTCTAGTGAAATCAAATACTTTGTGCCAGAACCTTCGTGATGTGCTTTATTGACATGTTTATCTTTTATCTTCAAAGCATTGAAGGGAGAGCTATTGTGGCGTAAGAGCAGTCACTGATAAACGTTTACTGAGTGTTTACCAGGCACTGTATTAGGTGCTTGTGAACATCAGTCTCAGAGATCCCAGCCCTCGCAGACTTTATATTCTAACTTTTATTCATTTTTACTATATGCCTGGTATGAGATGAGCACTATACTATATGATTTCTCTCAATATATACAATAAACCTATAAAATAAGTACTCTGATCCCCCAGTTTTAAGTATATACAGACACAGCTAGAGTTTTTCCGAGCTGATTATTAGCCCAGGTCCTTCTGACTCTTGTTATACTACCATAATCCAGCGAATTAGTGCTAAAATTAAATATGTCCAAAAACACAGAAGCCAAGGTATGCAAAAGATAAAGAAGAGAAAAGCACTGAACCATCAGAGAAGAGTATGTATGATTCTTCAAAACTGAAATATATACACTGAAGACTGAGTGCAGCATACATAAAATATTGTCTTAAGTAAATGAGTGAGGAGTATTGACAATAAAAGATTCTGTGAAATATAAAGTCACAGGTTTGAGATCATGAGCCTTATTCATTGGAAAGAAGAAAAAAATGAAGGAAGGAAGGAAGGAAGGAAGGGAGAGAGGGAGGAAGGAAAAGAAAAGAGAAAGAAAATGCCTAACCACCACTAGAAGGCACCATCACAATTTATCAACAATTCCAATGTAACTGAAATTCACCAGTTCAAAAACACTGTTGGAATTAGATCAAGTATTACAGTGTAGGACCCTTGACTTCAACAAGTGGATATGACAGAAAAGCTTTGTGAATGCAGAAATTCGAGAATGCCACGAAGCTTTACTTTTCCAGGTATCTGTTAGCATAATTACCAGAGGGGAACCAAGTCGCTGTACTGCCTGCCAGATAGGCTCCAGCGTCAACCCAGCTGATTCACTGGGAAGCGACAGGTTCCACACACAAACGACACAGACCAAGGGAGCCAAACTCGTCCCAGAGGAGAAGATACTTGATAGCATTTGCTATTTTTTCCTAAAGTTTAATCCAAACATGTCAAGGATCTGTTACACTCGTTGAATTAATGAGCTAAAATGCTAGGTATAAAATCCTCATAATCCAATTGCTAGTACGTCTGAAAGGTAAATGAAACTCTAGAACCAGGAGCCGAGACCAGGCATGTTGGCAGAAGACAGTGCCTTCCAAGAGCTTAGCCATCAATCACACTGCTCATTTTAATTGTGTTCCAGTATCTAAGATGCCCTCTCTTTTTCTCGGGCCATCAATTTCATAAAGAATCTTGAGAAGTAAACAAAAAAAGAAGGGTTCATAAATACTCCAAACTGTGTCAGTATCAGAACTTGAACTTGCTTATAATCATGATACAAGCTACATAGCAATGGAGGATCAACATAGAAGCTTCACTAATAAGAAACATCCTTCACGCTGGGGCCTGTAATGTAAATGCAAATATTGGCTCACAGAATAGAGTGATGTCGCCACTGAAAACAACTAATCACAGAGAAATAGTAAAGCCAAAGCCTGTGAGCAAACTTCTTACAAAGTCGTACCTCAGATTTTGACAACAATATGGCAATTCCATGTGTTGTCTAGCAACTCTGTGCATTTCAATGCATTTTCCAGCAAATATATAGACCGTGTTCTCTGTGAATGTAAAGGTTTGGCTCAGGCATTTGCATAATGTCGTTTGCCTTATGCAAACACCTTGCAAACCTTTGTATTATTTGTTGGTATGGTTTTTATCTTCCTCACATCATGTGAATCTCTTGTACTTTCAGATTTTTTTTATGAAAAAAGAAAATTGCCTTTGTGAAAAACTGGGAGGCTTAAATATATTTCTACAAACGTTTCAAAACCCATACTGAATTTTGAATATTAAAAAAGTATGTAATCGTGTAGATGATTCTTAATAAGGAATAATTAACTTATATCTAAATAGTGCCATTATTTGAAGAGGAATTACATCTTGAAAGAATGAAGAATAGTGCTTTCTATCACTTAAGTCTTTAACTTGTTCACTAATTGAAGATACAGCCCATTTAATTTGTATCAGAGCAGTTTATGATGATATCACACCCATGGGGTGTTTTACCATGGGGTAAAACAGTCAGTGCCGCCCTATTCATTAAATTGCCAGTGTGATGTGGGTGCACGGGGAGAGAGAGAGAGAGAGAGAGAGAGAGAGACAGACAGAGATAAGGAAAATAAACACAAACACAGGGAAACTACACCAAAGGCCAGTGGCTTAGTAGATGTGGCAGCAAGAATGTATCATAGGGTCCTGATACATTGAGCCTTATGATTTTTGAAAGGAATTATCTATAACAGTGTGAATTCATGGCTTTGGATTGATCAATAGACGATAGAGAAATTAATATAGAAGTAAAAGTGTGCGTGTTTTAAAATATGCACGTATATCTAGATCGATCTATCTATCTATCTATCTATCTATCTATCTATCTATCTATCCCTAGATCTATGTCCTGGCTCTGTTCCCTGAGAGGATCTGAGTGCATCAACACCCAGTAGCGTGAAGCACACCAAGTGTCCAGATCTCGACTGCCGAACACCAGGAATCAGGGTTTCTCAAGGAAATGGTTGAATTCAGGCCAGGACAAAAAATACAAGATGAGACTGGAGCATCTTGTTATACCAGAAAGTAAATATGTTCTCAGAGAATGATGGGAGTGATTTGGAAGCCAGTTTGGTGGGGCCTCCCTTTTCCCAAACTGAGACAAATTAATCACCAAACAAATAATGGTTGTGGTACATTACTTTTCAGTGAATAAAATAAGAAGCCATGGTGGTAGAAATAAATGAGTGACTAAATAAATGGAGAGAAAGGAAAGCTTTTTCTTACAGTAGAAATATAAATGTAGCAGGAATGGCAGAATTAGAAATCATCATTTGGCAATCATTTAAAAAAAATAATTCAGGCAAGAAACAAAAATGGACGCTAAAACTAGAGGATGAAATTTATATGAAACAAAATATTTACAATGACTCCAAGCCTCTTCCAACAAAGTATCTATTAATTGTAAAGGGAGAAATAGTAACTTTATACTAAAGAAATCTAGCAAATATTGCCTCAGGTGATCAATACTGATTCCAGTGATCAAAGGTAACATAACCGGTGACATGACAAATTGATGTCACACATTGCCTGATGGGATGCAATCATAAGAACACAACACCAATGATATTGCAGCCAAAAATGCAGAGCCTGAATCCAATCATGAAGAAACACCAGCCAACCCCAAACTCATTGTAGACAACTCTAAAAAATCAAAGGCCTGTCTTTTTCAAAAGTGACAAGGTCATAAAGGTCACAGAAGGACTTTCTCTGGTTTAATGGAGACTCAAGCAACACAGCAACTAAATACAAAGCATGATTCAGGACTGTGTTGTTTTGTTATACAGAACATTACTGGGACAATTAGAAAAACCTGAATCTCTGGGTGAAAGGTTTTGCAACTTATATATAAATTGGAAAATATTTCAAAACAAAATTGAGTAACTCAAAAGTCTGGCAAAAGTGTGTGGCCATGTGTGTTGTAGAGAACATGAGTAAGGTTGGGCAGAGGGGTATATGTGTATTCTCCCAGAAAAATACAACTGCTTTGGTAGGATATTAATAAACAGTCTACCTACCAACTCGTATACCTCCTCTGGGTCAATACTGTTACTATGGAAAGTCTTAATTATTATCTCTTGATACTTTAAGACTCTCATTTATACCAATATAAATAATAACTGGCTTTAGTCACAAATTAGTTTTATTTCAAACCCACTTGCAACAGTGACTTTATCAAGAATAGAAAATATTGCTAATATTTAGGTAGCAATTTATTTTTAAATAAAATTATATTTTAATTTGGTCGTTCGTATGGAAAGAACAAATTTATTTCTAATTAAATTTTATAATACCTATTTGTTGAAGGTCAAATATATATATATATACACACACAAGGAGGGAAGCTAAAAATTATCAGATCTATAAAGTACTGTGTATTTATTTTTACATGCTTAAACTTCAGTCACTTTCAAAGTACTCTCTGTTTGATTCATTCGACCTATTGAGAAGCTTTCTCCACTGCTCAAAACAGTTTTGAACTTGTCAATTTTGATCGTTTGTAGTGCTTCTACTGTTTTTTGCTCCACCTCTTCCACATTGACAAAACATTTCCCTTTGAGGACTTTTTTCATCAGGAGAAACAAAAGAAAAGTTTCTTGGGGTGAAATCGGGGAATGGGGAGGTCAGGGAATGGGGTTCACGCCGTTTTGGGACAAAAACTGCTGAACTCCCATCACAGCGTGGGCAGGTTGTTCATTTAGGGCACACATCATGAAATGGGCAAACATGTTGAAAGAATCTCCAAATAAAAATTCACTGAAGCCTAACACAGCCTCTCACAACTACGCTGGCTGGGCCACTGATGCCAATGGGTTCCTAGAACGCTTTCCTAGGAGGGGAAAGCCTGTACTACAAGAGGCCTGCCCTCTAAAAGATAACTCTTTTGGGGGGGGTCCCTCTCATCTGTAAAATAGCTCAAGGAAGGCAGATCAAACCATAGCCCCCAAATCCATGAAGGTTTGTGAATATAATGAAACCACATCAAAATAATTGAGTCACAGCAAAGGACGGACTATATTTCTTCTTAATGGCAGTGTGCAGAAATACCATTCAAACTTAAAATTTTGCATGGATTCTCTTATAAAGCTGAAAACGCTCCCCTTTAAATGCCATGAATTCGATTTGGAAAGCTTTTTTTATTTTTCTGAAACAAAGGGTATAAAATGCAGTC